TTCTCTACACCAGGAGGGTGCACAGGGGGTGCGGTCTCTATGCGTTGCAGGCGCGCAGGGCGCGGCAGGCGCGGCACCTTCTCGACACCAGGAGGGTGCGCAGGGGGTGCGGTCTCTATGCGCTGCAGGCGCGCAGGGCGCGGCAGGCGTGGCACTTTCTCGACACCAGAGGGGGTGCACAGGGGGGGCGGTCTCTATGCGTTGCAGGCGCGCAGGGCACGGCAGGCGCGGCATTTTCGCGGCACCAGGAGGGTGCGCAGGGGGTGCGGTCTCTAAGCGTTGCAGGCGCGCAGGGCGCGGCAGGCGTGGGAATTCTCGACACCAGAGGGGGTGACCAGGGGGTGCGGTCTCTATGCGTTGCAGGCGCGCAGGGCACGGCAGGCGCGGCATTTTCTCGACATCAGGAGGGTGCGCAGGGGGGTGCGGTCTCTATGCGTTGCATGTGCGCAGGGCATGGCAGGCGTGGGAATTCTCGACACCGGAGGGGGTGCACATGGGGTGCGGTCTCTAAGCGTATCAGGCGTGCAGGGCGCGGCAGGCGTGGCAAAATCTCGATAACAGAGGGGGGTGCGCGTGTGGTGCGGTCTCTATCCGCTGCAGGCTCGCACGGCGCAGCAGGCGTGTCATTTTCTCGACATCAGAGGGGGCGCGCAGGGAACGGCCACCAACATCATTCTCACATGTTTCTTTACAGCTATCATTACTCCAGCCATAATATAAGTATGTGGGGTTCCTCGGTAGCGTCATATGTTCCCCCTGTAGAGGGACGTGCCCGACTTCTTCACCCTAGGAAGGTCCCTTTGGGGCCCTGCCTGTCTCCCCCTCCTCCCGACCGCTCCAGCGGCGGAGTTGCACTGCGCTGGGCAGGGACGGCGATTTGCAGCTGGGATGGGAGGACTCGGCAGTGTTTGCACTGGTTGCCTGGCCACGCATAAGGAAACGAACTCTATACACCGACGCTTTTCCCGACTGCGCTGAAATTCGCACAGGAACGCGGATTCTGGTGTATGCGGGATCCTGGTGTATACATTTGTCGTTGCTTTCCCGGAACATCGGGGAAAAAAGTATACACCACACCACCCCAGTGTCGTCCCCGACCCTCTAAAGTCCTGGAATTCAAGAAACAGCCCGCCACTGGTAATGTATACGTTCCAGTTTCCGAATAAACATCTCATCTTGTTGTCCCTACAATTTCCTGGCGATTCCTGCCTGTTCCTAGCTGCTCCTGCTCATCCCTGCCTATCCTTAGCGAGCCCTGGCCATTCCTACGTATTCTCCGAGCCACATCCTCCCACATGTTCCAAGCTATGCCTAGCTGCCCCTCGTTCGAGAAGAAGTATGCTGGACATCGGCAGTTTGTAAACGCGTGCAAGTGTTCCAAACGGTCTGACTAGGGGTCTGGCCAAGGTTGACCCTGACGAGCCCAATATCGACGAAAGCGAGGGCTTCCGTAGAAGGGAAGCTGCTATGATGACGTCGCGGCCCAACATGGTGCCAGAGCCCACCCTCACCTCAAGCCTCGCAGGCTGAGCACGCTCGAATTCATCATGGTACCGAGGTTGCACGTGCAATGTGCCGTCTGGCCGCCAAGTGTTTGCCCCATGTGGCCGCATCTCAAGGTGGACGGTGTGGAGCTGCTGTAGGCTTCACCATGTTGAACTGCAGATCCCCTACTAGGGTCAGCTAACTCCTGGCAGTGGCAAAGTATGGTGTGGAAGCGTTGTGTTGTAGGCTCGGATCACGTTCGCGGGTCATACCCGAAGGAGGGAGGTGCAACGGCCCCAGACAGGCGGACTTGGCCCAAACAGTGCTTGCACTTAGAGGCTCGTTCATGTTTTCTTGTTTCTTTCTTTTTTGAGGAACTGGGAACCGAGGAACTGGGCCTGCGCGTCGGTCTGGCGGCTGCGCGGTCGCCGTCGCTGCCCCGTCGCTGCCTCGCCGCCGCCAGTCGTCTTGGCCTGCGCACCGGTCTGGCGGCCGCGCGGCCGCTGTCGCCGCCTCGCCGCCGCCTCGCCGCCGCCTCGCCGCCGCCTCGTCGCCGCCCATCGCCTGAGAGCCCGCGCGTCGGGTCCTTCACCTTTATGGCTGCCGTCGTCACCCCGTCGTCGCCCCGTCGCCGCCTCGTCGCCGCCCGCCGTCCGGGCCCAGGTGGCGGTCTCGCCGCCGTGTTGCCGCCGTGTTGCCGCCCCCGTCGCCGCATCGTCGCCGCCCGCCGCGTCGCCGCGACACGACTTCGCAGTGGTTCGCCCTGCCCCGCACTGCTTTGCATTGCTTTGGAGTTGCGCTGCGCTGCTTTGCACTGCAGCACAAAGATGTGCACTGCGCTATGCGCGTTGCTTTGCACTGCTTTGCATTAATCTGCATGTTTGCACTGCGTTGCATTGTGTGTTCCCTGCGTTTCTTTCCATCAACCTGTATACGTGTAGATGTCTGTATCTGTATATCTGTATGTGTATATAAATATGCTTGTCCCCCAGGGAGGGGCCGGCGCGGGACGACGAAGTTTTTCGCGCCCCGCGCGGCGCGAGACGCGAACTCAGGCGCCCTTGCAGGGCGGGAACGTCGCGATCCAGAGACGTGTGGGGTAGCGCTGGGTGACCGCAGCCCGCGTCCCACGAGGGTGCCAAGTACAGGGAGGGGAAGACACCCAGGATCGAGGTCTGAGGATTGAGATGTTCGTGCGTTTTTGACCCCCTTTGAGCCTTCAGAGGGGCCTCTCATCGCCACTGAAGAAGTCCAAGGGACGCAGAACGAGATCATAACCTGGACCCACTGGTTGATCAGGCCTGCACGAAGACGACGACGACGACGACGACGACGACGGCGACATAAAGCGACTACGACGACATGCGGCGACATACGACGACAAATGACGACAAACGGCGAAGATAATGAATAAGACGATGACGACGACGACGACGACGACGACGACGACGACGACGACGACGACGACGACTAGGACGACGACGACGACGACGACGACGACGACGACGACGACGACGACGGCGGCGGCCGCGGCGGCGGCGACGACGACGACGACGACGACGATCTGGACCGCAGCGTCACTAGAGACGCGTCGGTGCGAGGATCAAGATTAGAAGGCGAAGCGCAGCGAGCCTTAAAATATACCCCCCCACACACACACCCTGCATGGACCCCCCCCCCGGGCGCCCGTCCCCCCCCTCCCCCACAATCCCGGGCTCCCTTTCGAACGGCGCCACCCCCGCCCCGGGGCACCTTTCGGCCGGTCCCCCGAGACTCTCCGGCCAGCCGCCCGCCTGCTTCTGGACGCCGCGGAGGCCCCAGAAGCCTCGCAGCGGCTCCCACGTTGGACCAGAAGCCCGATAGACGTCCCAAGAGAGCCCCAAGAGCCTTCCCCGGAGGGCCTCGGGGGGTAAATACCATGAATTTCCACCATTTTTTTTTCAAGGAGCGCCCACGCACGGTAACGGCAATGAACCGCTATCAGTACCTACACAGTCAAGCGCCTGCATGCACGCGACATGTGCAAAACCAAAAATATAGATACCTCGGTAGCTCGGTAGTTTGGGCGAAGCAACACAGTTTAGAAAGGCCGAAGACCTCGGTAGCGTCGGACCCGGGCAAATCTGCCCGCGTCCGCGCGCTGCAGCTCAGCAGCAGCGATGCCACCGTGCCCTGCGCACGCCGTGGGGTGCACCGCATCGGGCCATCCGGCCGTGCCCTGCGCACGTCATAAAGGGAGGCCCGAGCCCGACCGCAGCAGGAACCTACGCCGAGGAGGCCGGCGCGCCGCCGCGCCGGGCGCGGGCCGGCCGTGCTGCCAGAGGAGAGCAGAGGAGGGGAGCAGCAGGCAGACGACGCGAGCGCGCGCGCGCGGGGCCAGGACCAGTGGGGGCGGGCGTGCAGGCGGGGGGGGCGACGGGGGATGAGACCCTCATCCTGCCATCCACACCGCCCCAGAGGAGGAGGAGGAGGAGGAGGAGGAGGAGGAGGAGGAGGAGGAGGAGGAGGAGGAGCAGGAGCAGGAGGAGGAGGCGGAGGAGGAGGAGGCGGAGGAGGAGGAGGAGCACCTGCCCCTCGGTGCCGCACGGTGCGCAAACGTGGAGCCCGCTGCCGACAGCAAGATCAGCCACTGTCGTGCGGCCGTCTCGCCTGGATCGCGGCAGGCAGTTGCACAGTTTGTACAGCAAGCACCTGCTGAACGAGCACAAATTGCCTTGCTGTCTGTAGCCGTGCAACCCTGGCGGACGCGAGGACACACCGAGTGAAACAACTCAGCGGAATGTACAAGTTGGATCTCCATATTGTGTTTCCATATCTGGGGGCTTCTCGCATTTCCAAGCTTTCCGGATCCAACAACAGCCCAAGATGCCCCCAGGAGAACCCCAAGACGACAGAAGAGGCCCCCAAGGGGGCCCCGTGATGGCCCAAGCGGGCCCCAAGACCGCCCAAGAGGCGCCCAAAACTGCCCAAGGGGGCTGTCAGAAGGGCCCAAGAGTGGGAACACGAACAAAACATCCGACCGTTCTGCCCCGAAAGATGCCCAGGAGGCGCCAGGAGAACCGTAAGAGGCCTCCCAGGTGGCCCGAAACGGCCCCCAAGAGGACCACAAGAGGCCCCAAGCCTACCCAGCTCGGGTCCATGCGGGCTCGTCGACCAGAAGAGACGAATGCTGTCACATGTGACGACGTTCCTCCTCCTCCTCCTCCTCCTCCTCCTCCTCCTCCTCCTCCTCCTACTACTACTACTCATTCTCATCCTCCTCCTCCTCCTCCTTCCTCCTCCTCCTCCTCCTCCTCCTCCTCCTCCTCTTTCCCCTCCCCCTCCCCCTCCTCCTCCACCTCCCTCTCTTCCTCCCCTTCTTCCCTCTTCTTTATGAATAACTCCTCCCTGTCGCACCCTGAGGCCAGTCGGAAGGGCGGCCCGAGCGATTCACCTGAGATTTCCTTACATCTTTACCACCTATTGGCCTAGAGCGTAAACATTGGCAACAGCTTCACAGGTGGAGGGTGGGTGGTTTTCAAAATGTGGCTCTCGCCTGAGCGCCGCGCACACTCGTCTTAGACAAGAACAAGAATTTGGTAGGGTCGTTTTCAACATGTGGTTCTCGCCTTCGCGCCGCGCACCTTCGCCACGCACATTCGTCTTTAAAACTTGCAAGAGCTTCACGGAATAGGAGCGTATCCTTTTCAAAATGTGGCTCTCGCCTTAGCGCCACACACATCCGTTCCAAACAGTTGCAAACGTTGCACGGGTTCTCATGGCTAACGTACCAAGATGGTGTGTTGTAACGAGACAGGATTGTCAGGGCGCAACAATAACGTTTATTCCCGGTGTTTAAGTCCCAGGAACAGCGTTCTGGCGATTCAGGATCGTCCATACTAATCGTCATGTTGAGCCATGACGTTGCAGCCCTGAGGATGGTGTTTTGGTAGGCTTCACAATTTTCACACGGTTGTCTCCCAACAGGGCACTTCCCTCAGTGGTGGGCATGAATCCTTGTAGGGGCCCTGGAAGAGCGAGCTTGGAGAGAGGGTGTATTCCAATATCGTTGATGGCTCGTGGGTTTACACTCCTCCTCCTCCTCCTCCTCCTCCTCCAACTCCTCCTCCTCCTCGCCCTCCTCGCCCTCCTCCTCCTCCTCCTCCTCCTCCTCCTCCTCCTCCTCCTCCTCCTTCTCCTCCTCCTCCTCCTGCTCCTCCGCCACACCTTTCAAACGTGTCGTGGCCCTATAAGGAGCTCACCGAAGGCCCCAGCGGCAGGGTCCGCATGGCGTACCCGCCCCCGGTTCAGCACACCCCTCACACGTTTCGTGGCCCCATCTGGGGGCCCCATTGAAGGCCCCAGCGTCAGGGTCCGCATGGCGCACACGCATCCTGATTCAGCACACCCCTCACACGCTTCGTGGCCCCATATGAATGGGAGCTCCACCGAACGCACCAGCGATAGGGTCCGCATGGCGCACCCGCATCCGATGCAGCACACCTCTCACACGTTTCGTGGCCATCTGGGGCCAGCACGTGAATCTCTTCCACGGCAGCCAAAAGGAGGAGGAGGAGGAGGAGGAGGAGGAGGAAGAAAGCCGTCGCGCAGGCCTGGGTCGCAGTCACAATGAAGCAGCCGGGCGAGAGAGCCTCGAAACTACCACGAGACGCACGGGGAATGCTCGGGGGGCCACGAGGCGACCGCGGACGACTTCATGCCCAAAGGCACCGTGAGCGGGCTACAAGGAGGCTACGGCCAACAAAGGAATCCAGGAGTTGTTTTTGTTCCCCAATCAGTGCTTGCACTGAAGGGGTCGTAGCGGAGGTTGAAAGATTTGACGAAAGATTCCCGCCGATTTTGGTGGCAAACTGGGTTCCCGGGTTCCTGGGTTCCCGGTTATTGGTTCCGGGCCGATTTTGGTGGGTTCTGCGTTCCCGGGCTCCTGGGTTCCCAGTCGATCTCCTCAGCGAAAATCATCCACTGATTGGGGTTTTTCTCTGGTGTACTTTGATGTTGTTGTTCCAATCGGGTGTCTGGATGATGCGGCTGAGCTTCAGAGAACGTTCCCTGGAAGAGGAAGGGGGAGGGGAAGGAGAAAGCGGCGTGCTCTCGCCGAAGCGGCCTGGACGTGCACGCGGCCTGACCGCCAGCGCGCACGGATGACCATGCGGAGGGCACTCCGTAACACCACTCGCATGACCACTCAAATCGTGACACACGACCGGAACGATGAGGAAAAAAATAGAGGAAGAAACAACGGCATAAAAGTAAACTTTTGGCGCTCCGCGCGGATCTATTGGATCTGCGCTGGACCCCACTCCCGCGCGCTCGGAGCGCGCCAGGAGCGGCGCCAGAGGCGCCGCTGGGGGGGCCCAGCGCGGATCCAAGAAAAATCCACGCGGAGCGCCAAAAGTCTACGATTATGCCGTTTTTTGTTGGCGGTGGACAGACCTCCCTTAGTAAACCACCCTTAAGTGAAAACGGCCCATGACCGAAACCGACGGACCTGGACTCGCATGAACGACGGCCGCGAAGCCCTCTCGCGCACCGAAAACGGCCAATTCGCTAATCAACGTGTCAGGGTAGGAGGTCTACCAACCTGAGAGCTTCGACAGGAGACGGGAGAGGATCATCGGCGGCGCGCAAGGTGGCCTCACAGGGCGTCGCAGGACTTACCGCTCCACGGCTGCGCGCCAGGCTACGGCACCCTGTGAAACAAATGCACCCTTGGCGGTAGAATGCCCTGAACAAATTCTCAGGGTAGCACACGGAACATCATGAAGAGTCCATAACCTGCACGGTTTCCCCCAGGGCAGTAGGCGACCCGAGGAGGAGGAGGAGGAGGAGGAGGAGGAGGAGGAGGAGGAGGAGGGAGG